ATTCTCCAGCCAGCATGGCTGGCTGAGGAATTCTGGGAGTTGAAGTCCACTCATCTTAAAGCTGCCAAGGTTGAGAAACGCTGCTATAGAGGAACAATCATAATTTTCGTGGCAACTGGCTGGCTTGCTCTGGCACTTTGTTTTTAAGACTCTGCAATGCTTTAGCTTCAATCTCAGAAATGAACTACCTTCGTGCTGCTGAGTACTCAAAAACACCTTTTGCAGATTTGAATCTTTTCTTTTTTCACTTCCCAGTTTAGCTTACCGCCTTGGTGTTCATTCTCTGGTGCAACCCCATTCAGGTATTCACCAGGCTTAACCCTGCTTAACATTCAAGTGCAGATAAGATCAGTCATGTACTGAGGCAAACTGAGCACCCACAGTATGGGTTGAGCAGGGATGCATATCATGAGACCCTATAGCAATATGCATCACCATAAAAACCAGAATCATTCTTAATCCTAACTGGTGGGGAGCACTGCACTGAACCACACAAACTAACCAACTGAATCTTAACCTAGCAGAGTGCATGATCTCAGCTCCCGTAGCTAGTTTATTATTAGTTACGGCCCCTGAAAATCAACTCTATAAACTTTGCTTAAATTAACCACCATTTATCAAATTGTGCAAAGATTGCATAAACGTTATCATCAAGTGATCAGTGTTAATGTTTCACAAAGAGGAAGTCTTCCATGTAATGGAGAATAAGCCTGTATCTTGTACCTCATTCAGATTAAAGCAGCGTTTTGTCCTCGCCCAATTCTTGGAGCTGCTTGTAGAGCACACCTAGCAAATCTGGTGCCTCCTTGCCTTAGCATGATGAGTGGACTTTTACTGAAGAAGACAACAAATACTTCTTACCAAGGTATGCTCCATACCAACCAGCAGCACACTGGTTTCAAACACAGTACTGATGTGGCCAAAAGTACTGGTGCCCCTCCATTTTTTTTCCTCAAAAAATCCCAATTTGCTGTGAAATACACTTAAATTGACTCAAGTACAGTAAATGGTGTCCACCATTCTTTATTGGATAGCCCATAGAGCAGTTTGGTTTTGATGTATCTTTTGATGTTCTTGTAACTAATAAAACAAATGAAAATGGCATAGACGTGGTTTTTGGTAACCTAGTATTTTGTAGCACACCCTTTTGAAGGAATAACTGCAGTCAAGCACTTGCTGTAGCTTTGAATAAGACTTCTGCACTTCTCAACTGGCAATTTGTCCCACTCTTCTTGACCAAACTGCTCTAGTTGTCTTAGGTTTGACGGGTTCCTCCTTCCAACTGTGAGTTTCAGCTCTTTCCATAGATGTTCTATTGGATTCAGAAAGGGACTTACAGCAGGCCACTTCAGAATAGTCCAATGTTTCCTTTTCAACCATGTTTGGGTTCTCTTAGATGTATATTTTGGGTCACTATCCTGCTGGAGGACCCATGATTTGCAACTGAGACAGAGCTTTCTAACACTGGGTATCCTTTTGCTTCAGAATGACTTGATAAGCTTCTGATTTCCTTATGCCCTGCAGAAATTCAAGGCACCTGGTGCTGGAGACGGCAAAGCAACCCCATAATGGCTGGTGTGGGTCTTCCGGGCTGTGTGGCCATGTTCTGGAAGTTTTGTTTCCTAATGTTTCGCCA